TTAAGCATCATTTTCGTTCTCAGTGACCCAGAATTAGTAAAGTTTGAGTACATTTATTTCAGAAGCATTTTGGCTGTAGAGCAGTGTAATCAAATGAAGGTAGAAATTTTTTATTCTTATAAATTCACCTAGGTTTTTTTAAAGCTTTTTCTGCAGCTTTGGAATCTTGAGTCTAAGCCTATAATTATCTTATTAATTAAACTATGTTCACATGAGATTTATTTAAAGGCATTAATGCCTTTTTATTGATGGCTTCCACTAAAGTAATACTAATTACATTAAATTATTCTTAGAAATTTCAATTGTGTAATACAATAACTTATCTGAAAAGTGCTGAATGAAAGCATCTGAATCCTCTGAGGGTTTCGGAGTGTGTTTCTAGTAAAGTTGCATTTTAGCTTGAAAATGTACATTTATATCATTTATCTATGCTAGGATTATAGCTACCTTTTGGTAACAAGTTACAAACTCAGTGTTTGGTACTGGTTGTATTAGGCTAGTGTGTTGAGGCCCCGGTCAGGATTACTATTTATCTGTGTTAGGGTAGAGCCTAGAGACCCACCGTGTTAGATGCTGTATAAACAGAGTAGAATAGCGCCTGCTCTGAAAAGTTTGTAATCTGATTAATTTTAAATTCGTTACATGAAAGATATATACAGTATCTAGAGAGCTTTGTAAATGCTAGTGTAAGTGTATATCTTATATGATGTCATGGTTAAATCTGATCAATAAGTTGAATTATAGAAACAGCACAAATAATGTGGTGTATTGTACTGTAGATGTTATAAGCATTCACAGGTTTGTAAACTCAGCCAGATGTTGATCTAGCTGGAGTTAGGTTGGTTTTGATTTATTTATCTCTCTGATCATGTTCTGATTGTGAAGTTTAGTCTATGATACTGTGTGTGTACACTTACTAAATACCCTTACAAGTTTTATTAAATAGCACTTTACTTTTAAGGGTTTTAAATGCCAGATTTAGAAAAATACGCAATTTTTTAAAAACAGAAAAGGACAAAATAGTATACTGCATGTGGAATATTGTGCATGTTTTATTTTAAAATGTGATCTAAAATTCCTTTTATGGTTTGAGAAATAGATGTTCTCTTAAGCCTGAAACTTTCAACATTAGGATCTGACATAACTAAAATTTTACAGAACTCCCCAGGGGTATCTTCCTGTATATCTTTAGACAGGGGAGTCCTAGACTGGAGAAATAACCAGAGATGGGGAAAAATTGTTGGAGAGGGAGTTGGAGGGTGACCAGAGTTATAGAAAATGTGGTTTTTGCTTTCAGCTTGGTAGATATGCTCTAGTGAAAGAGAACTGCCACAGAGTCCCAGTGGTATATAGCAGACATTCTGGAGATGTTGTTCTTCTGATTAACTGTTTGAAGGTCAACGCTACTGGGGTTCAAATGTATCTGTGTTGGCCAATTGAAGGGAGTTCATATTTTGACTCTAGATATGTTTAGTGATCAAGTTAAGTTGTACATCAGTGTTTTAGTGGACACTGTTTCTGTTCATTTTGTTAATATTTTTAAATACTGGTGTGACTAAATCCTGTCTTATGTTTTGTCGCTCAGTGAGAGGGTGACCAGCTGTCCCGTTTTTATAGGGACAGTCCCGATTTTTGGGTCTTTTTCTTATATAGGCTTCTATTACCCCCCATCCTCGTCCCGATTTTTCACACTTGCTGTCTGGTCACCCTAGTGAGAGTTTGCTTGAACCACAAATAAGTATACACAACCATGGGTATGTTTAGTTTAACTTTGCCTTCTGAGATACATTACATCAAAGAAAGAGGCTCAAGAACAAGTCCGAGTCAAATTCTGCCTTGTGGAAGTAAGAAAAGACTGTGTAGGTGGCAGCATAACAAATTAACGAAATCCTTCTATGAACACTTGTAAGGGATGTACCAATTGATGGCACCAGCAGAATGACATGGTCTTCAAACCATCCCTCTGAGTTCAGGGATAAAATCTGTCTCTAGCTATAACCTGGTGAAGTCTGAGAGCTTCACAAAAGTAAAACATCTTGAGCCAAATTCAGCCCTAGCATAAGTGGGTTCGGCTTCCAGTTATTTCAATGGCATTTGCACCTGCCTGTGCCAGTGCTCCATTTAGTCTTTTGTCTTTGGAAAGGCAGGTGAAAGAAAAGTGACCTACTGTAGTTGTGTGCTGTACCCCCTACTACTTAGCGGCTATAAGACTCAAATGTATTAGGGATTTTAACACCCTCTTTCCTCTCTCAGCCATAAGGAGAGTTCCTGAAAGTTGCTTTACTCTTTTTTTTTATACCAGCCAACCTATGTAGTACTGCACTTTGCATTATTTTCTCATCTACTGTCTTTTATGTAAATATGCCATGCATGCCATTTTTTTGAGACATGAAAATCACCCTCACTTTATCCATGTCAGAGCATTTTATAAATGGAAGAAGACAGGAGATGCTGCTTAGGTTCATCTGGATTGTCAGATCATATCCTGGGGAGAGGAATTATAAGCTTGAATTAATAAAGGAAAAGGAGATAGCACTAGATAATTTTCATATAGTGAAAAACATAAAGCATGATTCATACCTGAAATCTAGGATGCCAACTATTTTTTTTAAAGAAGTTTTGCCCTAACATACTGAACTGTTTTGGTTTTTTTTTTCCTTTTTGAGTGGCATTAGTTTTTTTAAAAAAAATCAGGATTCTTTCATTCTAAAATTCTCATTCTTTCAGTGTGCCTATGTTCTTCACACAGATATTTTTATTCATGTCTGTTTTCTATTGACTAACTGAACGTTAACATTCATCTATAGTAAGACAGTTGACGTGTCAATTTGTAAGGGTGCAAATGAAGGCTTTCCTTATGACCACATGGCTTTTTTTAACCCTTACAGATCATGAGCCAAGTGGAGGGACAACAGAAGAATCTTGTGCAAGCCATTGAATCCCTGCCAGGTTCTGGACCTCTTTCTGCCTTGGATCAGGACTTGCTGCTTTTAAAAGCTACCTCTGCTGCCACCCTGAGCTGCCTTGGAGAATGCCTGAATTTATTACAGCAGAGTGTGCATCAGGCAGGCCAACACAATAATAGGACATTGCCTTCAGGTGAGCACAAGCTGTCTTTTTCCTGGTCTATGTATTTTTTTTTTTTAATTATGATCCCCAGATAGGCAGGATGGACTTTTCCTTAAAGAAATGACTCGGGATCAACACTAAATAAGCTTCCTTGGAGTGAGATACCAACATTTTCCTTCTGAGCCACAAATATTGTAGAAAATATCAACATCAGAAAAAGGGAACAAAAGAGCCATTAAGTGTCTTCTGTGCAAATAGGGTCTGGAAAGAGCAAATATTTAATTTTGTCTTAAGTTCAAAAATATAGAGAAGAATCTGTATTTTCAAAGAAAAGTAATTTTGTTTTTTAAAAAGCAGATTTTTTTTAATAAATTGAAATTTAACACAATGTACTTTAATAACCAATTCTATGTATTATTTTTTCTAAATAGAAATCTCTAGGGAGGACTGAATCCCCCTATATATTGAGTCAGTGCTTGCGGTTTTCTCTAAGTTTGGAAAGAGAAGGCAATAGTCTCTTGCTATTTACCTTTGGCATGTGGTTACATAGTTACAAAGTAGGACCCTGAGCCTGGCACCTATGTGGACCCTCATCTTAATTAGCCCGATTCTAGATCTCTGTAGACTGCTTCAAAATAAAGATCTAACATGTCACAGTATAATCAGCCAGAGGGTTCACACACACATTTCACTGTTAGACCCGATTGTAGGATCAGGACTTGTTATAAGACCAGATGTAAACCAATGGCTCTTCACATATGGATGGCTTGATAACAACTTTGCCATCTCTACGTAATTTACTTAAAAACCTTTCAAGAAACACCGTCCCTCGCTCAGGGGGAAAAAAAAGTCCTTTCTAATTAGTAGGGCCGGTGTTTTCTGGAAATTGTTGATATTGCTGCGTTTATCTTCTGAAATTCTTTCATTTCCGGAATCGCCGATTTCTTCTGATTTTTCCACTTTGTGCTTCAGCTGTTCAAGCCATTTACTACCAATGCCTAAAATGGTTAAGCCTGAGGATAGTTAAAGCATTCGGCAAAGATGTGCTCCATGTGGATGGAGGGAAGTTATTTTGTACAATTTGCAGCAAAGTTCTTGACCGTGTTAAAAAGGGCCACATACTCAACCACATTAAAGGTCCATGTCATGTTGCAGCAATGGAGAAAAGAAAGCAAAGGCTAGAGAGCAGCGATGAGACAGCAGTAAAGCAACAGCTCACAACTACTGGTGTGCTTGCACAACAAAATGAAAATCAGGAATACTGGGTGGAGGCCTGTTGCAACGCAAACATTGCACTAGAAAAAACAGACAAAATGTGAGAATTCCTAAACGAGCACTTATGAAATGGGGTCTGTATCCTGCAAGCAAGTACACCGAGACAAGTCAATCTTCCCCGTGTATTTGAACTAAACAAGCAACAACTGGTCACTGAGTTGAAGGATCAGCACGTAACTGTAACTGTGGATGAATATACAGACAATGTACACTGGTATGTTGCAAATTATTCTAATACAGCTGATGCAGGTTTCAGAAGATTGCCCCGCTGCTGCTAAGCTTGTTGAAACAGTGGAATTAGAACGTGTTAGCTACTCTGCAGTTGCACAAGCTGTTATAAAGACCCTTATATAACATGAAATTGACTTTTCAAATGTACTAGTTTATGTGACAGATAATGCAAAATACATGTGAAAGTCATTCAAAGACAGTTTAAGCGGCATTTTAATCAGCTGCATTCATGGGACCTGCTGGGTATACATTACAGCTTTACTAGGCGAGTGCTGGCTCTGTTTGTTTACAGAAGTGGACCGTCTGTGTGCTCTAATAAAAAAGCTGATATGCAAACGCCCACTTAGAGTCTACCATATCGACCGTGGAGTTGAAAGCCCAACATTACCTCCGCAACGGGTTGTAACAAGATGGAATACTTGGTTTAAAGCCATAGACTATCTTTGCCATCAAGTGGAGTACTTGTGTGGAGTATTACAAGGGGTTCATTGGTTGGGAAATCAAAGTGGAGGACGACTGCCGTTTTAGAGGAGCTAAATGTTTATTGCAATGAATCATTTTGTGGCACATTCAATTTTTATCCAAGCAGAAGCAACTCCACTTGTTCGGACACTACTTACATTTGAATCATGGTCAACATTACCAACGGAAGTGTACAACATTGCATTTGATTTGGTGGTAATACTGCAGTACGCAGGACAGAATGTACTAGAGTAGACAATCTCAAGCATCAAGTTTTTCAAAACTATGCAGAGAAACTGCAGAGGTACTTAAATACAGAGAAATAGCCAGCATATAGATTTTTTTTCGCGATGTGAGAATCCTTGATCCCAAGCAAATTCGTGTACTCTCCCACAACTTCAGTGACTATGAACTGAGTGTTCTGCTGCTGAGTTCTGTACCTGAGGGTGAGTGGGGAGTTTATTTGAACATTGTAAATGAACTTCCTAGTACCAAGGACATTTCTCTCTCCAGTTTTTGGAAAAGCATGGACAAATGTTTGCCAAGACTTAGCCAGATTGCTTGTGGTGTTTTGGTGATCCTGTGCAACTCAGTTGATGCTGAACGCAGTTTCTTCAAACTTAAACAAGTGCTAACCCCGCAACGTTACTGTATGTTATTGGCAAGTATGAAGATGTATGCCCAAATGAGTTTTAATGTGTCCTAAGTGTGTTTCAATGAATATTTTTATGCTGATATAGGTGATGGGCACATATTTTCAATAAAACATTAGTTTACTTTAAGCAGAAATGTAATTATTCCATAGTTCCCGATGTTGTTAGATCGCTGCATAAAACAATAATCCAACTTTTATTTTAAATGTATAGTCTTGTATGGCAAGAATTTTGTTTTGTGTTTATAGTGATGATCACTTAATACATTTTTTTTATGTTCTAAAAATGACAATTTCGGTTTAAAAAATAGTCTGTAAACACTAATGTAGGCTACTGCATTTTTTTGCAGTAAAGGATTACATATTGCTTGTTTGTCAATACATGTATTTTTTGTATTAATATAATGCATATCTGAAATTTCTGAAATATAAAGCTTTGAAAATCTGATATTACTGTTTTCATTGCCGAAAAACACTTGCCCTGCTAATTAGCTTAACCGTCAGGTAAGACCCAACCACAAAGCTGCAGAGACAACTGGATGGGAAACAGACCTGGAGAAGGATGGCAGAAGGGCTAGATGATGAGCTGAGGAGTGGAAAGATGGCATGAAAAGGCTACAGACACTCCCCGGATTGCGCAAACCCGACTTACGGAAATCCGGATTTACGGAAAAAGTTCCATAAGTGCCTTTTTTTTTTTTTTGCATAATTGTCGGAGATACATTCCCGACTTACGCAAAACTCGACTTACGCAAGGCATTCCGGAATGGAATGCTTGCGTAGGTCGGGGAGCTTCGGTATTTTTGTGGAGCTATGCAGAACATAAAACAGTTATGTGTGTTCTTGGCTTAAAGTTACATTTTCACATTTGCATAATATTCTATTGGGGCCCTGTCTTAATTCAGACTTCTAAAGAGACTCCAGGGATAACTACACACCTTAAATAATCTACATAGGCATACGAAGCACAAGAACCAAAGGACCCTTCTTACCTTCCATGTTCCACTCACCTCATAAGAGATGCAAACTAAATGCAAGTATTTAAAAAGTAAATTGAAGGAGCATTCCTCTTTAACTGAGAAGAGGTCTTTAAATTCTTGGCTTTGTTTTAGCTTTCTTTATGGGAAAGGGGTAGGAAGCAAAGACTACACAAAAATCCTTCCGAGAAGGAAGGAAATACGTCCTATTCCTATATCTCTGGACAGTCTTCTTTAGATCCATGTGAAACAAGTAAACTGGCTGAGATGGCGGAGCTGGACAAATACAAATGTTGGTCCTCTGGCCTTACAATAAGCTGTTCCCTCTTGGCATTGATAAGGTTTCTAATTCCTATGGATGGAACCAGTATTTCCAAAGGTTTCATAGAAAGGAAAGCTAAAAATTCCCTTAGATGTTCACAATCTGTTCGCATGGGCTTGAAGGCAGGCATAGCATCTGCTCTTACTGTTAGAGTTTGAATATACACATAGTTAAACTAGGAAACTAGGAAAAAGAAAATCAAGAGGAACAGAGAGGCTAAAAAGCTTATAAAATATTTAGTCTGCTCTCTCCTGTTAAAAAGATGAACTTTGCAACATGAGATTTTTCTTCCAGGGTCCAGTTATGCAACACAATTGCCTGAAGGAACCTGTGGCTAAAAGCCATGATTACAGGTTTCTCCTCTTGATTTAATTTAATTCAGGCCTCCTTTGATAAGATTGTCGTTTCGGGGGGGAGTAATTAGAGTAAGCTGTTCAGGATTCATCAGAGCTGAATAAACTTATACCTAATGCCTCTAAGTAATCCTCTAGCCAATTCTAATTCAGAGATTTTAATTCTACAGTGTTCAGACAGTTTTTGGTTACTGCTGATGCAAGAGAGTCTTTCTTCAACGAAAGGGATGACCCATGGTGTCATCTCCTAATATTAGGAGGTCAAAATGATGATTCCTGTAGCTCAACCACCATTATCCTGTTGGAGGATGGCTGAAACATTTATTCAGTTCTTGCATCATCTCTGGAAACAAATGGGCCCTGGAAATAATTTAGAAAGATGACCTTGAGATTCTAGAAATTCTTTCTTCTATTCCTACTTAATTTGCAGAATGTTGAAGAAAATACATAAATATTCAAAGCAATTAATGGATCAAGCCCCAGCTATGTGAAAGACCAAATTTTGGCCTGTGAACTGCTGATACACTTGTGCCTTCTGGGATAAGATCACAAAATCTGGGACAAAGTACACGAGAGCAGAAGACAAAGCATTCTCAATCAAGGGATCTGGTGTGATTGAGAACAAGTAGCTGAAATGCAAAATATTAATTTTTATTCAATTTTATGCAAAAATAGTAATTTCCATGATCAATATATGCCATATTTTCAGCACTAAGTGCCCAAAGTGGGAACAGAGGGGCTATACCATTGGGCAGCAA